AGGAGGAGTGTGCTGTCACAGTATGCAGAGAGCAATTAGGGTCACATAACAATGTATGTATAAATTTTTGTATGAGAGACTAACGTGAATTGTAAACTTTCACTTAAACTACAACAATAAAAAAATAAAAAAAATAAAAAAAATAAAAAAAACCATGGAATCCAGAAAGCATCACATAGGGAGGCAATATAATTAATTGATCACAGGATCCTCCTGCACCCCCTTCTTCCACTTCCCTAAATCTAATAAACTGACAAATAGTATGTAAATACAGGCACTTCTCTGATAAAACCAGGGCTTCCAACCGGTTTGTTCCAGGTTGAACCACTGCTGAGAACTTGCATTTCCACCCCAGACATACTAAATCAGGATCTATATTTTACCAAGATTCCCAGGTGATTCTTACATTAGATTTTAAGAACCACTGTTCTACTAGTGGTTCTCAGAATTGGTCCCCAACCAGCAGCACTAGCATCACCTGGTAACTTGTTGGAGCCCTGGTTGCAAAGTGGTTAAGACCTCGGCTGCTAACCAAAAGATCAGCAGTTTGAATCCTCCAGCAGCTCCTTGGAAACCCTATGTGGCAGTTCTACTCTGTCCTATAGGGTTGCTAAGAGTTGGAATCGACTTGACAGCAGTGGGTTTGGTTTTCTGGGAACTTGTTAGACATCCAAATTCTCAGCAGGAGCTCGAACTAGAAGAAACAGTTGGAAGCCCTGAGCAAAATAAAGCAAGATTTCTTGCCAAGGATATGACAAAATGTTTTGTTTTGATTTTTAACCAATCCCCTCTGTGTAAAACCTTAGTCCTTTAGGAAGCAGTGCTTGCCTGCTTGTAACTTCCAGCCCTTCATGTCTACCAGCTGGTCTCCAGAAGGTGTTTCATTATTGAAAATTGTCCACTAAGCTGCGAAGTGGAGCCCTGGTGGCACAGTGGTTAAGAGCTCGGTTCCTAACAAAAGGTGGCCAGTTCAAATCCACCAGCCACTCCTTGGAAACCCTGTGGAGCAGTTCTACTCTGTCCTATAGGGTCGCTATGAGTCAGAATCAAATTGACAGCCAACAGGTTTTTGGTTTTTTAAGCTGCCAAGGGGTAATACTAAGTAATGACAGCTTACAGCTTCTTCATTTCTACTTTACTCTGTAGTTTTGTAATTAATGAACAGGGGTACACATCAAATACACACCACTGTAGTCACATCAGAAACCCTGGTGGCAAAGTGGTTAAGAGCTCGGCTGCTAACCAAAAGGTCAGCAGTTCGAATCCACAAGGCGCTCCTTGGAAACTCTACGGGGCATTTCTACTCTGTCCTATAGGGTCGCTATGAGTCGGAATCGACTCGATGGCAACAGGTTTGGTTTTTGGGTTTTGGTGGTCATATCTCCATCAACATGGCTAACCTACCAATCTGATGACTTAAAAAAAAGTCAGAGACTAAAGACTTAGGAAAGAGTTCATTAATACATAACAATAATGCTTTCAGAGTCAGAGACTTAAAAACAATTGCCACTAACCTCTAGAAATACCGCAGTGATTAATGGGTTAAGGACGTCTGCATTCTCTTTGACCTACAACAAAGAATACGGTATTAAGTGAGCACAGCAGGTTAAAAAATAGTAAGTAGAGTTTGATTCCACTTTGAAATACACACACACAAAAAACCATACAAAAATATAAGCATTTTGGACACAGAGACATTGCTGAAAGATGAAATTGTAAGTGCTTTAAACTTCCTCTATACCTTTCTATGTTATCTGATTTGAGAGTGTATTGCTTTGTAGTTTTTTATTGACTTTTAAAATGTATCATCATTTTATGGGAGAAAGGCACACCTGACCAGAATACTTTAAAACAATTTTAAAACAAATTTTGCATATATGGAACATGTGCTCTAAAAACTGAACAGTTTTTAAGACTGGCTGTTTGTAAAAGTCTCATTTCCTGGAAATAAATAATGCAAATTTAATACTCGCACCTGTTAGCACCTTAAAGTTGATTTGCTGGGTTAAAGTTTCTTTATGGAACATATGGAAAGATTTGTCCTCAGGAGAATAACTTCAAGAAACCCAGGAGCTCTTTTAAAGAAAATACTGAGAGGAAAAGAGAAGCTGTATCATAGGAATAATCTAAACTAATAATCACAGGAATAAGCTAAACTCAAAGTAAGAAAGATTAATTTGGGCCATGGTCTTAATTAAAACAAATTTAAGGGCCAGAAAAACTATCACTGCACTGGCACAGATACACCTACTACAAAGTGATTTTCATTTGCTTGTTCAAAATGTCCTTGATTTTATTCTAATACATGATTACTAGTTTCTCAACCATCTTCCATAGTTCATACACCTGCAGTAAATTATTGCAACTCCATTAAAAAAAAAAATCTTTAGCATTAACTATAGCTCTCCTACTGGCAGTAAGGAGCTACTCTTTAAAAGGGTTTTTATCAATGTCTATATTTCCAGCACAGGTCTTACAGGGCAGCACAAAGTACAGTATATACTTCATTAAAAAAAGAACAAAAATGAGTTGCAAATATCATTTAGACATAGACAAGCTGATCCTAAAGTTCACAGGAAACTCACAGAACCTTAAACAGGCAAAACGATCTTGAAAAAAGAACAAAGTTGGAGGACTCACACACTTCCTGATTTCAAAACTTACTACAAAGCGACAGTAATTAAGACAGTATGATACTGGCATAAGGACATACAGATTAAAAGCACAGAAATGAGAGTCCAGAAATAAATCTGTGTATCTATGGTCAACTGATTTTCGAAAAAAGGGGCCAAGACAATTAATAGTGAACGAATAGTCTTTTTCAACAAATGGTGCTGGGACATCTAAATAGCCACATGTAAAAGTGTGCAGTTGGACCTCTACCTCACACCATAACACAATATTAAGTCAAAATGGATCGTAAACATAAATGTAACAGGTAAAACTACAAAACTCTCAGAAAACGTAGGAATAAATCTGCATGATCTTGGATTAGACAATGATTTCTTAGATACAATGCCAAAAACACAAGTGATAAAAGAGAATACTGACAAGTTGACTTGGTCAAAATTTAAAACTTTTTTGTAGTAAAGAACACTATCAAGAAAGTGAAGGATAACCTACAGACTGCAGACAATACGTGCACATCATATATTTTTAACAAACTTGTATCCAGAATATATAAAAAACCCTTACACCTCAAAGATTTTAACATTTTAAATAATTTTTAAAAATAATAAATTAAAAAATGGGCAAAGGATTTGACTAGACATCTCTTCAAAGAAGATACACAAATGGGCATTAGCACATCACCATCAGTGATTAGTGAAATACAAAAGCTGCTCAGCATCATCAGTCATAAAAACCTGAAACCCAGTGCAGTCGAGTCAATTCCAACTCACAGCAAGGGAAATGCAAATCAAAACCACAGTAAGATACTACTTCATACTCACTTAGGATGGCTAAAATAACAGAGAGAGACAAAACAAGCGTTGGTGAGAACTGGAGAAATTAGAACCATCATACATAGCTGGTGAGAATGTGAAATGGTGCAGCCACTTGGAAAACAGTCTAGCAGTTTCTCAATGACCTTCATGACACAGCAATACCACTTCTAGCTATCTACCTAAAAGAAACGAAAACATGTCCACACAAAAACTGGCACATGCATGTCCATAGCAACATTATTCATAATAGCCAATAAGTAAAGCCAGACACAAAAGACCACACATTGTATGATTCTATTTATATGAAATGTCCAGAATAGGCAAATCTATACAGACAAAAAGTAGATTAGTGTTGCCTAGGTCTGGGGGAGTCTAGTGGGGGAAAGGGAATGGGGAGTGACTCCTAATGGTATGAGATTTCTTTTTGGAATGATGAAAATATTCTAAAATTAGATTATGGTGATGGTTGCACAACTCTAAATATACTAAAAACCACTAACTTACAGACGTTAGCCCAGTAAAAGACATAAATTCTTACCCCAGCAGTTGTTAGGCAGGTGGTGAATTCTTTAGACAGGGCGGACAACTCTTTACACAACACAACTGTTACCCTGGGAAAGAAGGCAGAAGAGTCAGAAGGGTTCCTTTTTATCTTTTCTTTCTCTCTCCTTTTTTAATAAGCTATATTTAACAATTCTTGGAAGAAAACAAACCACTCCTGGTATTATATGTGAAAGACGAAAGCTTTTAAAGGGAGCAAATACACATAAATCAGCTAAAGTACTTGGGGACTTAATGTATTTGGGACCCATTTGAGCAGGTTTCATGCTACAAGTAGGTTTCATCTTCAGTCCTCAGAAAACATTTTTCTACAAAATCCTCTAGAAAGTACTATACTTCAAGTTTAATCAAAGGAAATAACTAAAATACATTTTAAGGAGAAAACACAGTACTTAAAAGACCTTATACTTCATTTAGAAATATTTAAAATAAATATATAGTCATTAATCCATTTATTCAACAAATATTTACTGGAAGTCTTCTATGTGCCAGGTGCTGTTCTAGGGCACTGGGGATAAGTGAATAAGCAAAATCTCAGTTTTCATGGATTCTAATTTGCTAATTAAGGGGAAGACTATGTGCAAATGAAATTAAATATACATATATATTTCATACATATATACAGATATATATATACAAGTATACATGTATATGTGTATATATGTGTGTGTGTGTGTGTGTGTATATATTATATATATAATATATATAGTTATTGTTGTGTGCCACTGAGTTGATTCCAACTCATAGCAACTCCATGTTACAGAGCAGAACTTCATTCCCTAGGCTGAAATCTTCACAGAAGCAGATCATCAGGTCTTTATCCTGAAGAGCTGCTGGGTGGCTTTACGACTAATAAACTGAGAACCAGTTTTCAGAACATGAGTTGCTTAATAAGAAAGGGAAGATTTATAATGTTGACTTATTAAGGTTTAATTAAAAGAAACATCCTTGGCTACTTATTAACTAAAACCCAAAATGAACAAACCTCTAATATGTGAGTAGGTGCAATGTGAACAGCAGCTTATTGAGAGGGAAGTTTCTAAGTTTCTGAAAATAAGCCAAGAAAACTCTTTCAGCAATCTGCATCAGTTAGAGGGATACTCATTACACTTACTGAGAAAGGGTTCTGCTCCTTTCTATGGCTGTCACTTCCTGCTTCTGACCATGCAGAACCAATGCTGCTGTTTTGTGGAACAGTTCGATTGAGCAGGCAGTCAGTTCTGCTAGACTCCGGATTGCAAATGAATGGATATCCTGGAAGGAAAAACAAAACAAAGACTGAGAGAACAAAACATTGTTTTTTTCATCCTCTAGGAAATGACACAACTGTGCTTCTCTCATTCTGAAGAATTCGATATCTTAGCAGACAACAATGTTGGTGCTGTGTGCTATCAAGTCAATTCAGACTCATAGTGACCCTACAGGACAGAAAAGAACTGCCCCCACAGGGTTTTCCAGGCTGTAATCTTCACAGGAGCAGATCGCCAAGTTTTTTCTCCCAACTGCACTGCTGATGAGTTCGAACTGCCGACCTTTCAGTTAGCAGTCGAGTGCTTAACCATTGTGCCACCAGGGCTCCTTCCAGACACTAATAGTTGTCCCTAAATAAACTTATCCCTTTCTTCCATAGTAATTTTACATCTGGGCTCCTAGTTGCAAAAACAAAGGTTCCACTGAAGTCAGGTGGTGTAATGTAACTGAGTTTTGGCCAAAGAGATTTAGATAGAAAGTGTCTTGTGGCAGCTTCTGGGAACCTTCCTTATGACACAACAAATGTACCCTTTATCTCCTTTTCTTTACTCCTTCTTTCATCCTATAGCCTGGAACTACGATGCTATAATCTTGGACTATAAGGTTGAAACTATGCATAGCAGTGTAACACAATAGAAGGAAGTTGGGTCCCTGACTATGGTACCCACATCTCCAATCTGCAAAGTAAGGCTTTGTTGCTTAGTTACCTCTACTGAATTTTTATTGGCTTGCTCAGTACTTTCCACTTCCAAACATTTTTCCCCGTCTTCTTTCTCTGCTAATGGCTTGGTCAGAGATGTCGCGATCCATTCGTAGGCAGTACTTCTTGCCTAAATAAGAAGAAGATTATTGCCCATTCAATTCCTCTAACCTCAGCTTATGCTAGCCTTATGGAAGTCAGTGCTAATACTCTTACCCAAACACATCATGTAGCTTTTTAGTCCTTATCTTACTAGGCCTATCTACACCACCTACTAGTATCCACTCATTCCTTGAAGTTCTCTAGTCCTTTGGCTTTTTTAAAACACTGAAATATAACTTATATACAGTGAAGTGCACAAATCTCTAGAGTTCAGCTCAAGAAATGTTTACATATATACATATATATATATATATATGCCTGCGTAACTGACAGATCAAGATATAGAACCTCCTCACCAACCCAGAAGGTCCTCTCATGCTCCTTCCTAGTCAATACTGTGTCTCCTTCCCTCTGCTCAAAGGTACTCTTCTGTCTCACTATAGACTTTTCCTGTCTTAAAATCCATATAATGGAACCATAAGTATATTCTATTTTGTGTCTGGCTTCTTTTGCTCAACATAGTGTCTATTAGATTCATCCAGGTTGTTGCATGTATCAATAGTTCATTCTTATTTATTGCTGTGTAGTATATCATTTTATGCACATACCATAATTTATCCATTCTCCTGCTGATAGACCTTTGGGTTGTTTCTAGTTTCCTTTGGCATTTTAACACCACTACCCTCTGTCAACGGCATGAGAAACTCTTCCCTAAGAATGAAGCCAAAGCAGAAGAAAGAGGAGCCAAGAGACGGAGGGGGACTGGTTCCCAGGTAGAACCATGCCTAAAGCCAGTCTTCCTCTTGACTTTCTGGTTTCCTGAGCTAATAAATTCCTCTTTTTCCTTAAAGCCAGCTTGACTTAAGTTTCTATTATTTGTAACTGAGTATTGGTTTCTAATGAAATGTTTATTGTCATAAAATGAAGGTATCCACTTCAATAACTTTATACCAGACAGAATGTGTTCAAAGCTATAACCAAGCATTAGGAGTCTAGAGAAAACATTAGGTCATTCCACCTAAGAGAATCACAGGTTTTATTACATATGGAATTGGAGTTGGGCCTTTAAGGATCAATAGGTAGGTTTTTACCCAAGGCCACAACATTAATGAGCTAGAGCAAAACCTGTGTACCCACACACTCACTGCAGGGTTCTTTCCCCTATAACATATGGCCTCCCACAAAATCCATCAGGAACAATCTGGCTCTGATCTATAACCTTCCTACTACTTAAGCCTCTCAAATAAAAAAAAAAAAAAAACCCAGAATGAACTATATAAAGGCTCAGAAGTAGGAAAATGCAAGGTGTGCTAAGGAAGCTGAGCTATCTGGCAAGCCCAGAGTATAAGGTGCAAGAATTTATTAATCCATTTATGTACTTCAAATATTTGCTGCATACTGTGCTAGGTGTTGGGGATACAGTGGTAAATATAAGCTAGGGCCCTGATCTTCTTTTCTCTAGTAAGAACGACAATTAAGAAACAAACAAATAAATATATGCACGAAGAAAACGAAATGGAGTGATGAAGAATACAGACTAGGTAGACAGAGGGCAGCTTTAGTTTGGAGGATTGATGAGGAAGGGTCTCTGAGAAGTGATATTTGAGCTGAAATCTAAAGGATATAAAGGAGTCAGTCACACAGATATACAGGCAAAGAGAGTTGTAAGCAGAGAGAAATTAGCTTGTTGTATACGAAGAAAAGAAGAAGGCCAGTATGGGAAGAATATAGAGGGTGGGGGAGCGTGATAGGAGATGAAGTTGGAGTAGTGAGGTTTATAGAAGAGTATAGTGAGAGATGAAGCTAGAAAGAATCATAACAATTGACAAATAGTCCAAAGAGTATGAGAAGTTCTTTACAACAACTTTGAAGAGGTAAAATGAGACAAAAACCAGAAGTTGATTTATCTAAAATATAACTTATATAAAGTGCACAAATCTCCAGAGTTCAGCTCAATAAATGTTTAATGTTTAATGTTTCATTAAAAATGAAAGAAATACGTGGAGATACAAGGTCAAATAAAAGAAAAAGAAAACTGGTACCATAAATTTAATGTACTTGGACAAAGTATTTTAATAGGCATATGGAATGCACAAAGCAATCTCTCCTGTAATAAATACACTAAGTGAAGTTACCGCAAACCACTGTGCCAACTCAAAGCAATTCATCAACCCTTTCCAAAACTGTTCCCTCACTCCCCATGATTCAACCTAGAACTTTCCATTGGTGAGATCTGGACATAGAAATTAAAAGGCATCTTTGAGATTAGCTTCTCCAACAACTTATTTGTTTCCAGCTGAACAAAATAAGACCTGGAGAAGGAACGGAGTTTGCCCAAAGTCACAAAACATGCAGAGTAAGAATAAGAACCATGGAATATCTTGTTATGCAGAAAGTAAGAAAGTGCTCAAAAATTGTTGGGGGCATGCTACAAGGACAGAGGAGCCCGCATGAAGGACAATTTGAACATTAAAATAATTAAGGACAGTGATAAATTGTAAATCACTGAGGAAAAAAAGAAGCCCATGAAGCCACAGCGATAACAAAGAGATAAAGAAGAACTCTTGACTATAGCAGAATGTCAAAAGCCAATTGGTAATGTGGAGGAAGGGCTAGGGTTGAAAAAAATCACCATTTTGCAACCATCACAGTGAAGACAGGTCCAGCAAGAATCATGATTCGATGTTAAATCTAGGAGGGAAATGATGAGGAGGAGCAGGATATTTGTATGGTCTTGAAGTATCTTCTACCCACAGTAGCATAGAACAACATAGTAATTGTGCAGTGAGAAATCAGACAACACATGGCCAGTGGGGGCAGACGGGCATCGTGTGCCTCTAGATTTGATACCCTGAGCAGGACACATCTCTTATGGGATATTTTGGCTAGGAAAACGTAACCTGACTCTAATCATGAGAAAACACCAGAAAAACCCCAAATGAGGTATGTTCTATTGTTATAAAAGGAAAAGGGGGAGTGTATTTTTCAAAAATATCAATGTCATAAAAGACAAAGAAAGGCTGAGAAACTATTGCTGATTAAAGGAGACGAAAAGTACATGACATCTAAATACAATTTGCAATCAAGCACTGGGTTCACTGTCAGAGGGAAAAATTTGCTATAAAGGACATTATTGGGTGAACTGACAAAACTGGAATATGGACAATTGAGTAACAAAAGTATGGTATTAATGTTAAATTTACCGACGTGGATAACTGTACTGTGGCTATATAAAGGAATATCTGTATCCCTTTAGGCTATTCATATTAAAGTATTTAGGCATAAAGGGCTACGTAATATTTGCAACTTACTCTCTAATGATTCCAAAAATAATAATAGTGTGTGTGTATAAATATAGAGAGAGAGACAGAGAGAGAGAAAATACACACACGTGTACAAGCACAAATGATTAGGCAAATGAGGTAAAATGGTAACAATAAGTAAATTTGCATAAAGAAAATACGAGTGTTGTATTATTGTTGCAACTTTTCTGTATGAAATTATTTCCAAAAACAAACAAAAAAACAATGATTCAAGATAGAAAGTGTTGTGATGAAGTGCTCAGATAAGAGGAATGAGCTGCTCGAGTGTGGTCTGAAAAGCTTTCTTGGAGAATGTAGCATTTTCACTGCGCACAGGAGACTGGGATAACAAACCAAGCACTATATTCCTTATGCTGGAGCATTGGGTGGGGGGAGGCTACTGTGCTGACTATGCAATGGCTATCAGCTCTCCCTGGCCAGGAAGCCATGCGACTCTGGTCCTGAAATGTTTCCCCAGTTTGGGAGCGGAGGATAAAAAGGCAGCAAGCAGGCCATGACCCAGTGTATACTGTTCCATGTGTGGCACTAGCATATATGCTACTGGACACTGATCTGAAACAGTCCCTCCCTATTCACTCTGAGTTCTGACTAAAGTTTCTTCACGTGCCAGATGTGTGAAGACAGCTCAGGAGTCATCACCAAAAATGAAGACCTGGGCCATGAAACTCTCTCATTTCCACATGCTAAGTAGTCATTACCTGAGTTGTTGGGCTCTGGGAAAAGGCAACCTCCAGCTCCCTAAAGGAAGGGGCCATATCCCATCATCTCTGAATTACTCAGAGCCCTGAGCAGTGAGACCTCAGTAGATACTTGTCCACTGGCATCAGGAAGGCTTGTCAGCACTGCCAACTTTAACTGACCAACACTGAGGCCTAAATTAAGCTCTCAGACAAGCAAACAAATCCAAATGAAAATAGGTAAGGATGGGAGATGTGTTGGGGGGAGGGGGCAGATGTGAGTTTAGCATGCTAACCTGGGGGAGAAGGTGGAAGGTAGAAGGTACAGAACTTAGAATATACCCTCAATTTTGGTGACACCCTTGCCAGGAGTTTAGAATCTTATGCTCTTTATCCACTAAATCCAGACAAGTAAAATAATGAAAATCACCCAGAAATAATAACTTACTCTGGCCAGTTTCTCTGGTTTGGAGGAGACGTGCAGCTGGGAAAACAGCTCTGTAATTTCTTTGGTAAAGTCTTCATCCCCTGAAAAACCAAATACCATGTAAAGCACTGTAGGAAGACTGGTGAGGATCACGAGGTCATGGGAGGAGGAGGGGAAGTGGGTGGTAGTGGTGGTAGTAGTACAGCGGTGTAACAGTAACAGTAGCAGCAATTTACATGAGCATGGTGCGTTAGTGCTTACAGAATCCTTCTATGGACATTATATCGATACATTCTTTCAATGATCCTATAAGAAAAGTGGTGTTATCCCATTTTAGAGATGAAGAAACTAGAGCTTGAAGTTATTTCCCCAGTATCACGTAGTGCAGATTAGGAGTTAAACCCTGGCCTTCCCACCCCCACTCCAAGTCCAGTGCTCTTTGCATTACATCCAAGAAGCACATATAGAGAAATGGTGAAAACCCAGTACTAAACAGGTACTATGCATGTGCTTTCAAGGAAGTGGAATTTAACTCAGGACCTGAAAGATGAGTACAAGTTAGCTAAGTGAATGGGAATAGTTTCCAGCAGAGGAAACAAGTGCAAAGACTCAAATGTGAAGGAAAGCACGGCAATAACTGTAATTTGGTTAGGAATGTCTAGTGTAAGGCGGAGAAGAAGAGTGGAATGAAGCTAGGAAGATGAGTAACCAGCTGCCGTCGAGTTGACTCCAACTCATGATGACCCCATGTGTATCAGAGTAGAACTGTGCTCTGCAGGGTTTTCAATGGCTAATTTTTGGAAGTAGATCATCAAGCCTTTCTTCTGAGGAACTTCTGGGTAAAGACTCGAACCTTCAACCTTTCAATTAGCAGTTGAGTGCATTAACCCACACCACCCAGGGACTCTGGAAAGGTTAGTAGCATCCAAATAACAACAGGCCTTAAAACCATCATAAGGAATTCAAACTTTATACTGAAAGAGTGGGGAGCCACTAAATGATTTTAAGCAGAGACTGATATGATCAAACTTCAATTTCGGAAAGATCATTTTGGCTGCTGGGTAGGAAATGCATTGGAAGGGGAACAAGAAAGGAAGAAGGTGGCTGAGGCCGTAATTCAGGAACGAGGTAAGAGATAATGATGGATAAGAAGAAAGAAGAAAAGGGGATTCCAGAATGTTGGAAGAATGATGAGGAAGCTTTTGGAGTAAGCCTGGTAAGAGATGAGGGGGAACACAGAATATCTATACTTAGAAACACACAAGCAAATGTGAGTCAGGACCAAACAACCAACACATCCACACAAATTGGCAGGAAATGTACTTCCCCTCTCCACATAGCTAAATTCAATCCTATCCTCCTCCCCCGCCCCCCTCGCCCCACCTTGAGGCCCAGCCCAAGGCTTCTCTACAATCTGGTATGTAGACAAGAACTCTTGAGCACAGAAATGTATACCACTTACAATCATACTATGTGAGTATGTTTTAATCACCAGTCCACAGCTTGCCAGGACAAATTATTACTGTTTCATATCTGTTTCCTTCCCAAAATCCCCATAAAAAATACAATTCTATCTTGGCACCTCTCTCTCCCTCTGCTATCCTTTTGTCCCTCTCTTGGTGTTTGAGGCAGAGAATTCAAAAGCTTTAGTGATCTCAGGTACTGTATGGTTTGGGAAAAGCTGATCTCACTAACTGATAACAACTATGACATATATAACTCATCTAAACAACTTCTAATCATACCCTACTATCTGAAATCCAAAACCTGACTTTTAGGCAGGCATTTTATTTTCCCAACTAAGCTCTAAATTATTTGGGCACAGGAGATGAATCTGAATCTGTAGTGAGACATATGTACCCCAAGAGGTTCAAAAAATGATCCAATGGAGTGCAGCAAAAAAAAAAAAAAATTGAATTTCTATTTATAGGTATTTATCCCATTCTTTAAAATATCTATTTTAGTATCTGGGGTGGGAGCCAGGCATGGGAATATATTAAGGATTCTCTATATCCCAATGTTTGGGAGCTACCAGGATAGAGCACGCAGGGTTCCCCTAACCTAGCTGATTTTTTTTTAACCTTTATTTTTCACAGAACATCAATTTGTAAAATGTGACTTGGGTTTTGTTTTATTGGTTTTTTTTGGGGGGGCAGGGGTTGTTTTGTTTTGTTTTTTTTAAAAGCATATCCCATTCATTAAATGAGATATAGATAAAGCACTTAAAACAGTCCCTGGCACATAACAAGAGTTCAATAAATGGTGAGCATTACTCTGGAAAAAAAAAATCTATTTTAGGGTATATTTTAGAATTTACATAATATATATTTACAATGCTACATGTGTACAATTTATAAGCATTCAAATATACTCAAAAAAACTTTTACTGCTAAGTGTTTGTGATCAAAACTGTTTGAAAATCCCTGTCATGTACTTCCCTTTTACCTCTCCACAGTCCTGAGTATAAAAAGGAGTTGTTCCCTTATCTCACACCATATACAAAAATTACTCAAAATGGATCAAAGACCTAAATATGACAGCTAAAACTATATTTCAGAAGAAAAGACAGGGACACATCTTCATGACCTTGGATTTGGCAACGGATTATTAGATGCGACATTAAAAGCATGAGCAACAGAAGTAAAAATCAACTGAACTTCATCAAAATTAAAAACTTTTGTGCTCAAAGGAAGCACAAACACAACCTACAGAACAGTATATTTGCAAATCATTTATCTGACAAGGGATTTGTATCTAGAATATATAAAGAGCTCTTATAATCTAATTATAAAAAAACAGCCCAATTAAAAAATGAATAGACATTTCTCTGAGGATGATATACAAATAGCCAATGGGCACAGGAAAAGATGCTCCACATCATCAGTCATCAGGGAAATACAAATCAAAACCACATAAGAAACCACTTCACCATCAGTAGGATGGCTAGAATCAAAAAGTCAGGTGGCTTAAAAAAAAAAAATTTTTTTTTAAGTCAGGTAATAACAAGTGTTGGCAAGGATGTGAAGAAATCCGAACCCTCATATACCATTGGTGGGAGTATAAAATGTATGGAAAACAATCTGGCAGTTAAACATAGAGTTACCATATGACCCAGCAATTCCATTCCTAAGTATATACCCCAAGAAAAATAAAACATATGTCCACACAAAGACTTGTACATGAATATTTACAGCAGCATTATTTGTAATAGCCAGAAGGTAGAAACAACTCAAACAGCCATCAGTGGATGAATGGATAAACAAATTGTGGTATATCCATAGGGAACATTACTCAGTCATAAAAAGGAATGATGTACTGATACATGATGGATGAATGTATTGAAACACTGGATGGACCTTAAAAACATTACATTAAGTGAAAGAAGTCAGTCACAAAAGTCAACGTATTATATGAAAGTCCAGAACATGGAAATCTGTAGAAACAGAAAGTAGACTAGTAGTTATCTATGGCTGGTAGGAGGAGAGTGGGTAGACTAGGGGAATGATAGCTAAAGGATACAAGATTTCTTTTTGAGGTGATGAAAATATTCTAAAATTGACTGTGGGGATGGTTGCACACATCTGTGAATATACTAAAAACCATTAAATTGTACTCTTTAAATGGGTGAATTGTATGGTATGTGAATTATATCACAATAAAACTCTTTAAGAAAAAAAAGTAGTTGTTGCATTAGAATACAACTGTGTAAGAATGGAAACAAGGCAGGGCTAGTGCTCTGGAGGAGCCCAGGAGAGTGGCTAGAGCCTCCTCAAGCAGGAAGTCTCCTTCCAAGGCTAAGGAACCAGGTACATTAGACAGAGGGGCAAGAGCTAAGGATGCTGCTGGAAAATGAAGATGGCCAATGTCACCAGAACCACGTTCTGTGGTTTTCTCTGCCTTCTGCTACCACTTTTTTTAAGAGCTTTAACCAAATCAAACTCATTGCTATAGAGTCCATTCCAACTCATAGTGACCTTATAGGACAGAACAAAACTGCTCCATAGGGTTTCCAAGGAGTGGCTGGTAGATTTGAACTGCCGACCTTTTAGTCTGCAGCCATAGCTCTTAACCACTGCGCCACCAGGGCTTCTTTAATGGCTTTACTGAGATATAATTAAATACCAAGATCACTGTTGCATTCTCAACTGAAATCACTGGCGAGAACTTTGGCAGGAGATGGAGGAGTGCAGGGGTGGAGGAGTGAAGGGGAGACCCAGTGCTATCTTTTTTGAGCCTAATCTCTGGCAAACAGGTATGGAAAATAAAAATCATAGACATAAATCCATCTGTTTAGAAAACCTCTTAGAGTTCTCTGAATGGCATTTAAAGATTAGGGTTTCTGATTACTTATGCAAAGCCAGATGTTGACTAAATTGAACAAATACTGTTAATGGCACCACGTACAGATAAATTAACTTTATAAATAACTGGGGATTGTCACACCAGGGTTTGGTTACGAATAATGGAGCAACTTAAGTAAATCAAAATTAATTTATGGGTTTCCTTCTAAGCAAGACATTTAAAATACAAATCTTTATTTACTTAAACTTTCCTAATAATGAAAATAATATCCACCATTTGTTGAGTGCTTACTATGTGCCATACATTAAATATAATATTTCATTTACTCCTTACAACAACCTAAGAGGAATGATCTCGTTACAGATGAGGAAACTGAAGCTCAGTGTTTAGTAACTTCCCAAAGTCACAGTTTGATTTGGAACCCAGGTTTAACTCCAAAACCCCTGCTTTTATCCACCATGCTACACTACCTTCTCAATACCTCAGGAGAGGATATTGAAATTTAAAACATTTAAGCTTTAAAAATTTATATTCAAGAATGATTTTCTAATCAGGAATACCACCTTTACATGTAGTAAGATGTCATTTAGCAAGATGTTATCTCGCCAGGCAGTTTGACTTCTTAAAACACAGTGCAGAACACCAATGAGAACAAAAAAGAAAAAGTCTTTCTCTGTGCAGAATCCATGCACTCAAAGTTTATGTCCTTCTCTCAAAGGAGACATCCTAAGACCCTTACTCAGAGCTCTTTGCTCTTAATACACAACTCAAATTAAGAGTAATCCTCTGGTTTTCCATCCATAGTGGATTAGGGAAAGAAAACTAAATGAGGTTCAGGGGATATCAGAAGGAAGCTCACTGGCAGTTGAGAGAAGTAAAAGAGACAGATAAATGCACAGAAGGAAATAAAGATGCACGATCTAAAAAGCAATTAGAGACATTTTTTAAGAGCATAGCTCTCTAGGATAATTTAATCTAGCAGTTCTCAAACTTTCTGGTCTCAGGACCCCTTTACACACTTAAAACTTTTTTAGAATCCCAAACAGCTTTTGTTTACATCTGTATCTATCAATATTTATTATATTAAAAATTAAAACTGAAATGCTTTAAGTATTTATCAATTCATTAATAATAATAATAATTAGCTCATTAAACCAAAAACCCATTGCCTTCAATTCCAACTCATAGCAACCCTATAGGACAGAGTAGAAGTGCCCCATAGGGTTTTCGAGGCTGTAAATCTTTATGGAAGCAGACTGCCACATCTTTCTCCCATGGAGAGGCTGGTGGGTTTGAACCGCTGACCTTCTGGTTAGAAGCTGAGGGCTTAACCACTGCACCATCAGGACTTCTCTAATAAGCTCATTACCTAACATAAATAACCTTTTTTTAAAATTGTGTTTTAGGTGAAAGTTTACAGTGCAAATTAGTTTTTCATTCAAAAACTTTATACACAAATTGTTTTGTGACATTAGTTGCAAGCCCCGCAATGTGTCAGCACTCTCCCCCTTTCCACCCCAAGTTCCCTGCTTCCATTTATCCAGTTTTCTTGTCCCTTCCTGCCTTCTCATCTTTGCTTTTGGGCAGGTGTTGCCCCTTTGGTCTCATAGCCTTCATGGAGCTAAGAAGCACGTTCCTCACATGTGTAAATTGTTTGTTTTCTAGGCCTGTCTAATCTTTGGCTGAAAGGTGGACTTTGGGAGAGGCTTCAGTTCTGAGTTAATAGGGTGTTCAGGGGACACAGTCTCAGGAGGGGGTGAATTACCTATTTTTTAAGAAAAAATAACTACATTTTAAAAAATTAGTGAGACGTGTGCCATTGTTTTACATCTCTGCAAATATCTTTAATTTCCGGCTTAATAGAAGACAGCTGGATTCTCTTATCTACTTTTGCACTCAATCTGTTGTGATACCTTGTTTTGTTCGAGTGTATGAAGAAAATCCAGCCCCATGAAGACAGTTTCAAAGGGAAGGAGTATTTTAATAGCCTTTTCAGATAGATGTGGATAGTCTTCCTTAAAACTACACCAAAATTCAACAAGCAGTCATTTCTTAAAGCTTAGTTGCAATGTGGAGTCTGAAGCCATACCATGAACAAAGCACTCAGTTGCATTAAATTAAAATCCATTGGTCTACCTTGTACTTTGAAAGGATTTTTTGCTCATGCGTGATTTTGCAATATCATTCACTGGCCATTTGGAAAATACTGGCTCACTAAATTATGCAGCTCTTCCTAATACTGACACATTTCATTACAAAATATTCAAAAACAAAAATCACATTTTTTTTTATTATCACTATCAATTTCATCAGAAAGGTCTATAAGCACTGGGAAGTTGTCAAACTTACCACAGTGGTAAATACAAGTTTTACAAATGCCTAATTTTTGCTTGAAGTTCAAATTTTCTTATTAGCCATAAATACTTTCAGTTGTTTTCCTTGACATGACAGTCTCACTTCATACCTTTTCAAGAAAATATTTAGCAAATATCCTACTCTGAATAGTTTGTGGACTGTTATCTTTCAAGTAAAAACGGTGTTTCATGAAAAAAAGCAGGTAGGTAGTTCAGCTCGCAACTCGAACAATAGCACAAGTGCTTTTCCTTGGGACAACCGTCATACTTCAGCGTGGATCACACAGAATATTAAGTGTTTAATTAATTCAATATAATTAATAGTTCAATAAAACGTGATAAAATTAATAAAATTAACAAAGGCAGTAAGAAATAGTTTAATAAAATTATTTATAATTTAGTAAAATTAAATCATTTTTACTGCTTCATCAACAAAACTGGCACTTTTTTATTCTACTATGAGAGCACAGCAGTGAAAATGTAGGAATAGTGAAAAGACAATACAATGACTACTAGTACCACAGTTTGGTGCCACTGCCTTGATTCATACTAAGACACCAGAAATTTTACCCACCCTTGCTTCTGCACCATCAGTGCAAATGTCAACTCACTGAAAAAACAATACCTTGATACTATTAAGCAAAAAGTTTTGACCTCATAGCTCCCCTAAAAGGGTCTTAGGGGCCCAGGGATTTGCAGACTGTACTTCGAGAACCACTGATTTAATCTACCACGTAAGCGATAGGTCCTGTATGTCTTAACAGACCCTGAGACCCTGAGGGAAATTTTCTATTTACTTTTTATGTTTATAACTGATTGTTTCATCAAGAAAAGGCAAAATTGTATTCATCAGAGTCTACTTTCAAAAAGACCACCATGGTATAACAAAGTTTATTAAGAAAATGTTCTGCATCCTATTTTGGTGAGTGGCGTCTGGGGTCTTAAAAGCTAGCAAGAAGACTTCTAAGATGCATCAATTGGTCCTAACCACCTGGAATAAAGGAGAATGAAGAACACCAAAGACACAAGGCAAGTATTAGCCCAAAAGACAGAAAGGGCCACATAAACCAGAGACTCCATCAGCCTAAGACCAGAAAGAACTAGACAGTGCTGGCTACCACCAGTGACCGCCCTGACAGGGAACACAACAGACAGTCCCTGATGGAGCAGGAGAAAGGCGGGGTGCAGAACTCAAATTCTAGTAAACGACCAGATTTAACGGTCTGACTGAGACTGGAGGAACCCCAGAAAGCATGGCCCCTGGATTCTCTATCAGCCCAGAACTAAAACAATTTCCGAGGCCAACTCTT